GATTTGCGCCAAGAAGAAACCAGCTTTCATAATCGCCATTTTCATCATAATTTTCGTAATCGTTTTTAATCATATTTTTCATAATTGTTGTTTAATCATAACAGAATCGGTTTTCATATTTTTCTAGACACAATTGTACAGCATTAAAAAAATTTACGCATTATTATTTATAAGTATTAATTATAATGATGACCATTTATCTTTGGTTTCGCCATTTATATGCACCACAATTTATTAATGTTATCATTTGTAATTAATGTCATTTGTCAATGCTGTGGTTGTAATCATCATTATTCATCGATATCACTACTTATAATCACTATCAATCGTCTTTATTATCACTTTCAATTATAAACATTTTACTAATCTACAATTTGTAATCATAATCATTTGTTAATACTATCACTTGCAATTTACAGCCACTTATCAATATTTTATCATTATATATCAACCTACAGCTTTTTCAGTTTTCGTTATTTTATTTTCACTTTCAACTATTTCAGTGCTTTGTCACTGATTTTCGATAATTGTGATACTTTTAGCTTACCATCAGTTGTCGCCACAAAATAGCCAGTCCTCTTGGGCATTTAGCTTTATGGAGTTTGAAAAACCTGAACTTATCGTCCATACGAGCTTGAAAACCCACTGCGATTCCCGACTGTTTTCTGTGTGAAAATTCAAAGTCTTGAGGCTCACACACATACACGCAACAATAAACACGCATATGCTAATTGAAAACCTTAATAACCGAAATCAGCAAATTCTGATATTTACCTTTGTAAACAAAGAGGTCATTAATAATTTGCTTATGGTAAAAGCAATTAGAGTGAAAAATGAATTGTCCCGTTCTTCCAGTGAAACAGTACAGCATAAAGGAAGTGAGAGAGAGAAAGGGAGATAATTCTGAGATTTTTTGAACAGAAAAAAAATTAAACATTTTTCAAAGTGAGTTAACCATATAAAAGCACATGGAATTTTTGGCAGGAAAACTGCTATTTGACACCAGAAAAATTTGAAAGCTGATATATATGCTATATACGCTACATGTGCTATATACATATATATATATATGCTAAAAGGTAACCAAATTCAATAAAAAACGGTTGAAAAATAAAAAAGTACGTAATGAATTTTCGTGTGCTTATACATGTAAGTATGGGTGTGTGTGTGTGTATGTGTGTGCGTATGTGTATGTTGTTGTCTGTGTGCGGAAGTATATGCGCGT